TTTTTTTCTCAATTTTCTCTCAAAGTAACAAACTTAATTGTAATCGATGTCGCAGAAATGTCTTTTTTTTGCCATTTTCTTTTTGAATTTGTTCTTTTTCTATTCTTCAACTTTTATGTCATTTTTTTCAAATAAATTATTTTTGCTCAAAATATTTGATTTTAGAAAAAACCATTCTAGTTTTGTTCAATTCTTTTTCAAAAATAAGTTTTTTCCTTGTAGGAATGTGTCTTTAGATAGTTGCAATGATGTATATAACAGTTTTCTTTTACGTGTGAACATTTGAGTTAATTGAGCTATTTCTAACTTTCTCAACAAATAAAAAATGACTGAGTCAGGTAATTTTAAACAAGTTTTGAAAAAATATATTTCTTTCCTGGTACAGTTTTTAAAAATTTTTTTTTTAAATTTGTATCTCTGCCATTTATTTTACACAACTATATATCCTTGTAGATCATTGTTTAGTACAAATCTATGACTGATATGCTTTTATGAGACTTTAATATGGGAATTGTGAATGACTTTTTCTTATTATTGCTTAATATATGAAAGCATGAAGTTTTAAAATTTAATTTTTTTTAAAAAATGTAACATGTTGTCTACCTCTTTTCATTATAAACTGTCAGATTCTTAATTTTTATTTATTATTTATTGCTATAAAAAGTGAATTCTCATGTCCAATTTACTACATTTAAAATGTGCTTGAGTTCTTAATAGTTGTATTTAAATACTTACATGTTTAAATAATACTAAATATTAGTTAGAAAAGGGTATTTTTTGCTGAAAAGAGAAAAACTTGCTTCTCGGAAAAGTATAATACAAAACTTAAAGAAAACATGTGCAAAAAAACATAAACTCATCAATATAATTTACATTTCAATAAAAATCAAAACCATGACAAATACAATTGATACCTGAAATAATGAAATTATCTGAATTAAGGCAATTTAGGTGCAATAAGTTTTATATAATAATCTCTTGAGAGAAAAAAATAATCGTTTCGTTTCCGTCGTCGGTCTAATAGTAGAATTAATTAAGGGAATGGAATTTTTCCGATTTCTGTCTTCTTTTTAATATAATCTCGCAAGATAAGAATATTTTTCTAAAAGTCTGCGCAGAAGTAAATACAAATGAAAAAATTTACATTGAAACTCGAATGGATGAAATGAAGCACAAAAACTTTTAATATAATTTTTCGAAATGACATTTTATGTAACTCACTGGTTTCAAAATTTTAACTGATTTCTTCAACATTAAGTAATTGGAGGCCTCGGTATNAACATTTTCCAAGTATTTGTATGTTATAATTTCAAGAATAAGCTTGTTTTTAGATATTTGTGGGGCTTATAATTCATAAAGAGCATCAAAAAATAACCAAAATTAAGTGTTCCTTTACTGGGTGTTTATTTACTGGTAAGAGCTGTTCCTTCCTTTGGTCTTCTTACTACTTGTTATTTGAACCTCCAAAACTTTAAAACAATATTATGTAAGTTCTCTACAATTTTTTTACATAATTTGCAATTAGTAACAAATATGTTGACACTGTCATTTAACTAAAATTATGAATTTTGAAATTAACATGATTTTTCAAAAGGCAAGCGAAACTTAAGTGTTCCTTTACTGGTTAGTTTACCATACCTAAAAATTTTCTGAGTAATTGCGCACTATTCTTTGATAAAAAAAAGTATAACTTATAATGAATGTAATGTCAATATCCTGAAATTAATAGTTGAAGCTGGCTCAGACTCGTACCATTAATTAATTGTATACTGTACTTTAAAAAAAACTTAAGTGTGAATAGGCTGTTATCTAATAATAAACTTTTGAAACTGGCTCAGACCTGTCATTAACTGTACTCTATACTTAGAAATACTAACATAAACAGTGAGATTAATGATTGGAAAGCGCCGACCAGAAGGCTGACTTTCAGTCAGGAAGGACCGGGTTCGAATCCCGAATAAGGCATGTATGTTGTTTGCTTTTCCTCGCTGTACTATCTGGATTTCTTACTGCAAAAGCAACGTTGGCCAACCTAATATGGTGCCCCTGAGGGAGCAGTCGACACGTCTGCTCATCTGTTACTCGAATGACGAAGTCAATATCCGAATGACGAAGTCAATATCCGTGGTGGCATTGGAAAAAAATGATTGGAAGGCTGTTATCTACTAATAAGTCCTTGAAACTTGTTCAGACTTGTCATTAGTTGTACTCCATACTTTGAAAAACAAATGTGAAAAGTATAATGGGACCATTACGCTGTTATAAAAATTTCTTAAACTAGTCACTAAGTATGCTCTACACGTTAAAAACCTAAAGTAAAGCGTAAAACTAATGACTGTATTAGAACTAACTCAAAGTAGTAATGAATAGTACACTATACTTTGAAAAATAAATACTGTATATAATTAATGCCGATTCAGTTTTAATTTTTGAGATTAGTTTCAAAAAATAAAATTAAAACGAGGAGTAAGTTTCAACCAAAACTTTAAAAGCCCAAGGTTTTAATAAATTATATTTTTGATGCGTATATTAAACAATTGTCAAATAGTTTAACGATTTTTTTAACTATTTGAACTGAAATATTATTTTTGTTGTAAATCTAAATTTATTTAAATTACTCACGATATCATATGATTTCCTTAACGTCATAGAATGAAATTCTTCTGTTATATTGAAAAATGTCAAGAATTTCTAGCTAAAATGTACGGCTCAAAAAATTTATTCTTAGAATTTAAACACAACTTTTCAATATTGTTTTGAGATTTTGAAATACGGATATTTATTTAAGATAAATAAAATTTTACTCTATTGATTTTTTAAAGCAAAAAAGGTATTCGGAGAAATACGAGTGATGGTTTTCTTTCTATTCCAGAAACTATGACTACATTTCAAGAAAAATAACTATTTTGATTTACATATATGCAACTGATAGTTAAATACACGACATAAATTTTGGCTCTTAATGATGTTCTAAAGTAAGTCATAAAACGTTATTTTATTTTCGAGTTAAGAATTTTATTTTTTTGTTAAAATATAGCTTTGAGTTATAAAATTTTATAAACTTTACTAGAAAAGTGCATTTTAATTTATTTTTCAGTTCTTTTCATTACAGATAACACCGAAACATTATAATTCAGACATTCTAAATGTACTTTGAAACGTAAAGGGGTGTTTCTATAGAAGCCATCAATTTTCTAAATCTATTTTGTTTATCTAAAAATTAATGGTATACAACTTGAGTGATGACGTTTGACGAATTTAGTTAATTTAAAATGGAACTTCTAGACGATTTTGTTAATTATTTGATAATTTTGTTATTGATTTGATTTTGATAATTTTATTCCCTACATTTTTCGTAAATCTAGAATAAAAACAGAATATCAAAAAAGAGAAATGTGCATATTTTCTCCATTTTATTTTTTTAGAGTATATAGATATTATGGAAACAGAACTCTTATAAACTACCACCCTTAAGACTAGAGGTAGAATGACTAAGTGTATATTCAAACATTAATAAATAACTATTACGATAAAGTAAATAATGGCACCTTTACTGCAAGACAACAAAACCGCTTGACATAACCGAGGTCATTATGTCATAACGAAGGCGATAAGTGGCATTTATTTTTCAAATGTCATATCGTGAGCTGCGGTAGTTCAGAGGTTAGAGTGTTCACCTCCCATTGAGATGATCTGGGTTCGAATCTCAGAGATGACAGGTCAATAATATCAATCACTCGGCTTGCACTGACTACGGTGATGACGTAAAATATTCTCAGTAGTAGACGGAATACGGATTAGAGTTTTCTTGCTGTCAGGCTAACCGTGGGAGATTTTCGTGGATTTTCTCCCCATGTAACTGAAATGCTGGTTTTCGTCATTTCCTTCAAAAAGTGCTCCACGAAAGCTAGTTTAATAAAATGTCCTATAGCATCATGCAAAGATTTGAAGATATGCTTAATAATATGACATTTTGTGGTAAAAAAATATTTTGATTATTCGAGGACAAGACTCGGATTACTTAAAAGTTGAAAAAAATTAATATTTTTGTCCAGAAATTTTAAACTAAAATAAATTGATCTAGACACATATTAATTTCGCTAAAACTTAATTGAAGAAATTTATAACAAAACATTTATTTCTCTTATATTTAGAATAATTACTTTTCCATGCGTAGTTTTATTCTACGTATTATGAAGTTTTAACTAAAATTTGTTTAAAAAAAGCTAGTCTGAATTTCAATCGTGAAAAATATTGATAAAAATTAAATGTTCATCAGAATTTATAAAAAGTGGTATCAAATGCTGCGATCACATAAAATCATAAGACTTACAAATAAAAAAATGATCCCTGAAATCATTTCTGAATTTATTATTTACAGTTCAAGGGATATTTTTCATTTTGAGTAATTAAAAAAACTTTCAAATAATATCTCTATAAATTTTTATTTGGAAATAATATCCCTAATACTAATCTAAGGTCTCTACTATACCAGTCTCTACTTAACCAAATTACTTCTCAATTATTGCTTGTTAGTTAAACTTTTTTAAACACGGCCTCACTTGATCTGTTATGATTATGTAAAAGCGAAAAATGAGTTATAATTTCTACTTTTTAGATGCTAACTTATGACACAAATGTTAAGACCCAAAACGCTTAAATTTAAAATAAATATAAATTGTAAAGAATTTTTAGTTTCATTTCAAATTTATAGAATTATTTGAACTATTCAAAAAATTTCTGAGCAATAGTTTTTGATAAATGAAAATGGGAACATTTTATCTTGCTGCCCACTTTAAAAAATTCTTATAAATGTGTTTGAAGAAAATTAATCACACACTTACTATATGAGTTTTACTATTCATTTCGTTATTTTGACTAAAAATTCGGGTCGTAACTTTAATTTGTCATGAGTTTTGTACCGCAAATTAAATACAATTGTAATAAAGTTTTTAAAATTTCCATTATAAAATATATCATTCAAGGCAATTGTTTCTTACCTGTAACAATAAACAATTTAATCTCCAATAAAACTGTCACAGTCAATATAATAATCATCTCGTTAAAAGTCGTGAAAAAAGAAACTCGGAAAATCTTAAAGAAGTTTCCGTGCAGACCTGAGCGATGTTCACGTCGCAGAATGTTACCGGAGTCTGGGATTGTATCTGATCAACGGTGGCGCTCCTGTTTCTCCTGGATAAAATACCGGGAGCACGTGGATTGCAAAACACACGTGGATTGTAAAACAAACGTGAGTTAGGAGGATAAGTAAGTTTCCTCCGAGCTTTAAAACACATATTAACTATTTGGTTTGCAACTGAATGATTTGATACTTGAAAAGTGATCATATTCTCCTTATTATAATTTTTGTTTGGATTTTTCCCAATTTAAGATAGTTTTACAGGTATATTATTCGCATACTTCACAGACATCTCAAGAAATTGCGACTGCAGAAATTGCTCTTCCCTTATTACTGATTACCTCAATTGCTTTTTTAAGTTTAAAATTATAAAAAGTAAAGTTAAATGGACTGGAATGGGTAGTGGTGAAAATGTGTAGAGTTTTAGATTTTATTAATTTCATTAAGATTTAAGAAAATTTAATTTATTTCGAAATTATTTATGAAAGTTCATAGACTCTTGGATATGATTCTGTTTAATTTTTTGCTTGTTTTGCTTTAAGTAAAATCTCCAATATTTTGCTCCATTGGGTCCCACATTCTTGCATTTCAAAGTAAATATTTATTAATCATTTTCTGAATTTGCAGGAGTTTACCGGAGCTTTCTAGTTTAAACTTTTTGTAAAATCGATGCTGCAATGTACCGTACGCAGAAAGACTTTGAAAAACTATTGAATTTGCATTAGAACTCAAGGGGTATAACGGGATGACCTCAAATATGCTAGTTAGTTAGTGCAAACGATATTTTATGAAATCAGGCACAAAAACGTACTTCAATCAAATAAAATACCTGTTTTTTCGACGGATTCGGACTTCTGACCCCCAAAATATATTATTCTTACTTCGTGTACAACGTTTGCTCACCTAATATGGTGCCTCTGAATGAGAGGCCAACAAATCTGCCCTACTGATCCCTGAATGACGAGTGTCCATCGGGTGGACATTGAAAAAAAATTACTTTTTGCGTATTTCGCCTTACCTGGAGAACCTTTAAAACGAATTATAAACTTTTTGCACACAAATATAAAATTCGTATATCCAACACAATTCCGCGCAACATTTTTTTTATGCTTGATTGATTTTTTAGATTTTTTTATGTTTAAACTAAGGAATTATTTAATAAAATTTATTGGGATCTCTTAAATCCACTTTTTCTTTGTTTCTCTTCGTTTCAAATTTATAAATTTATATATATATGCAAACTAAAATATTGAGAAAATATGGAAAATAATAAAAAATAATGACAAGAGAAGAAAATTATTAAAAATATATTTCAAAAGTATTTAAAAAAGTATAATTTTTAATATCTAAAAAAAATTAAAAATCCAAAAAACAAAACAAAGAAAAGATATAATCTCTTCATCAGCCCACACGATTATATCCGCAAAAAGGAGTGCTTACTAACATTGTATTAATATAGCCAAAGCAAAAAATATATATCAATACAATAATGTGAGGAGCACTCAGAAAAATTGAAACGAAATTAGAACACATGAAATAAAAAATATATACGAAAAAACAAACAAATATATCAAGCAGAAAACAGAAAATAAATGTAAAGAGATTAGAGAACAGTACACGAAAGGAAATCCACATAGTGAGGAGCGAATTAAAATGAACTTACGCGTACTGGAATCTTTCAAAAATGATTTAAAATATTTTCGTAACAAGATTGCCAGATTACAAAATATGAAAACAGAAGCATAAATAAAGTTATATATTATGGCACTTTCTTACCGCAATACTGAAGCGCGTCTAATATGTTAGTTACCTTAGATGGGCCCGAAAATGGATGTGCGCTAGGTAATAATATTATACAGGATAATATAAAGCTTGTAATTAATAAGTTTGATAATCATAATAATTTTAGAAAATTAATAATTATTTCAAAGAAAAAGAGGCAGGATTTGCTCGCTTTTAAATTGATTTTTAGCAGGCGCCAAATTATTATTACTGCTGAAATCCAAAAATTAGGCTCAAAGAGCAATGCCCTAAACACACGAAATTAGAAAACCGATCTAAAAACGGAAACAGAAAGGAAACGAAAGTAAGTTAATAGTTGATAATATTAATTATGAGTTCTATATACATGCAGCTTATGCGCAGTTAATAAAACTTATTAATTTTTTTCGTATTTTTCTTTGTTTTTATTGTGCTATATATATATATCATGGGTGAAAGCCCTNTATATATATATTTCATTTTTCCAAGTTAACGATAAGTCGTATGAGGTATAGTCAAGTATAACTTCAGTCTGAACAAAAGGATGAAAAATGTAATTATCTTCGTTTTGATCTTTCATGTTAAAAGAAAATTCGTAAGTTATTAATATAATAAATTATTAAAAATCGTAAGTTATTAATATAAGTAATATTTAGTTATCAAAAGCCTGCAAAATAAATAAGCAAGTGATATTTAGTTTCTATATAACAATTGACTAATTTTTATACTATTATTTTTATAATATTCTACGTTTCGAAAAAGTGTAACAGAAATCTATAATGCTTAAAATAAGCTTTACGAATGACTTTTTAGCTCTACCATAGATACTAACTTATTAATGTATATTAAAATGCAAACGACTATTCATAAAATAAATTGCTTGAAAGCAAATAAAAAAAATTTGAGCGGTAATAGTATTTATGTATCAAAAAGTATTTAATTTAATTATTAAAACAAAATCTAATCTGAAGAAGTTATGAAAGCATTGTAAAAATTGGTTTTAAAATGCTTCGAACAAGCTATAAAAAATATTAAAATAAATTATTTTCAAGTTTAATTTTATTATTAAAGAACACATTTCCAAATTAAAGAATATAATCCGAGTTTATGCATAATTTATCTGTTTATTTGCAATTTTTTTAATTGAAAGGAAAATGTTTATCTTATCTGTTGAAGATTTTATTATTTTAGAATTAAACAAGGTAATTTTTTAATTATATAACTTTACCCCTGCTAGAGTTGAAATATTAAGAAGGATTAGTCTCAAATATATGTAGTGCTCTTGAAAAGAAAAAGTATGCATATAACCAAGAGATAATGAATTTCTAATTTGAATACATATTTTAGGAAAGTAATGAGCACGGGAATGTTTCTAGATATGCTTTTTTCTAAAACAAACAGCGAATTTCTGCCATTTGTTTATTTAAATAGTCTATGTTTGACATTTTTCGAATAAAATTTTTAAATTTTGAGACATATTTAAATGATAAAGAATTTATTTTATACGATATTTCCTTACAATTTTATAACTCTTTTTATAAAAACAACAAGTCCTTTCACAAAATCTATGCTAAAAAAATTATCGATATATTGTTTAAACAATTAAAATTTTTTAAAAAGCGATCTCAATTAAAAGTACTCAATTAAATGTATAAGTATAAGAATATGCTTAATGCTTTGTAATATTTTTTTAGTCTAATATTTTATTAAATAAATAATACATTTTCTTTGTACAAAATAACCATATAAGTGATTTTTTATTATTTGAAGTCATTTTTTTAAGGTTTTAATAAAATAGTGACGATGATTATTATTGAATGTATTTAATTAAAAAAAGTTTTACTGCAATAAGCAAACAAAAAATGCAATAGTGTTGCATTTTATTTGAACCATTGAGGAAAAAACTCTAATGATGATTACTTTTATATTGCTAAAAATATGGCTAAATAAATTGCGTTTAATCATTTAATAATTAATTATGGACTGATGACACATAAAATGAAACACATTTGCTTTGATTTAAAGTATTTAATACAGAAAAAAATCTCTTATCTTAAAAAAAATCAAAATCTTGTCACATTTTATTTTAAAGCATAAGTGATACTTAAGGAAAAACATTAAAAAGGAAAATAACACAAGATTATATAATCTACAACAATATATTAAACAAAATCAGTTCAGAATTCAATTAAATATTGATTGAAAAAACTCAAGTAAAAAATTTTTTTTTCTATGCGACACATTTTTAGCTGTGAAGTCGCAGTCAACTTCATGATTTATTGTTGGCCAATTAGAATAACGTCAGCAGAATCTCTGACATTTAACCCCTTAACGCGCAGATTTTTTGAAAAAAACCGGCCGAAAAAATCATTTTTTTATAATGTAAAAAAACACACTTTAGAACATTATCTTTTCCTTCGGTGAAAAATTTTGATATACTGCGCTTTTGTTCAATGGAAAAAGGCTATATTTTATTCTTGAATAAATAAGTGTTATAACTTACAATCCTATGTAAATGATACATATCAATAAAACGATTTTTTTTTCTTAGCTTTCACATTGTTATTTTCAATTCCCGGTTATAATCGAGTGTGAAAAATTATAGCAGCATAAAATACAACGCCGCTCGAATTATCTCGAGTGTGCACAGTTTGGCCTGTTTAGCGCGCTCGAATAAACTCGGGAGCACAAGTTAAGGGGTTAATGAAACTATGTAATTCTTATCGTTCTATATGACTAATAAAGGATTTATTTCTGGTTCTGGTCAACTTTGCCAGACGTTTTCGAGCATTTTGAAGCAATATACACTGTTATAATTTTCATTCTAAAATTATGGTAAAATAATTGGTAGCAGTCTGTCCATCCAATTTACCGTAAAGTTTACGCTAAAGAACATTTTTACTTTTACGTTTTTGAAACTGTTTACAACTAGTTTAGTTAAAAAAAAAAGACATGAATGCAAAAATAGAAGATTTTTTAACCATTTGCAACTAGCATGGTTTTAAACAGTAGAAAAATAAATTAACTTGACATTGGAGTTAGGTTTTTCATTAGGTATTGAGCATTGGAGTTAGGTTATGGTTTAGTTTTGTTTTATCAAGCGGAAATATTGTGATGTCGACGCTAAGACTCGAACTCCCGTTCTGTCGGTCATAGAATTGACAGACTGGACCTTTTGACTATATGTACCCAGGTGCAAGAAACTTAGCGACTTTATTAGATGGGCCTAGTTGGTTCGATAAAATTC